ACAACAGGATAAAGAATCAATTCATTAATTGTATTTAGGCTAATAAAGCGTTAAAGATAGACCATGTGTAATCTGAATGAAAAATTATAGAAGTAAAGAGTTTTTTAATTAATCAAATAGTCAGATTGCAAAAGACTTCTTTGTACATAATGATGACCAGTTTTGTTTCGTTGTATTTCCATTTTGGTCTAAAATTAATATTTTTATTTACATAAATGGTAGCATAAGGGGTTAGAGCAAATAATTTAAATATACATTACGTAATATATTATAATCACAAAGTTATATTACATCATATTTTATATAATATTATATTTATTATAGCTATAATAATATACTACATACACGGCATGTGATGATATATTACGTTATTATATTTTGTTCTATCATACTTAAGATATTATACTATGTACTTTGATTATAATAATAAAATAATTATTTTCATAATAATATGAAACAACAATATTTAAAAGATTTGACTGTTTCAAATTAAGTTGGGGACGTGGAGATTTTAACTGAATCTGGCTCTATTAAAAAGGCTATTAAAAATTAAGTATAATAAACTATTATACTGATTGACGGGGATTTGTCTATTAATCTTTAATCTTTAATAAGATAAGAGACACTTTTTTTAAAAAATAATTTACACAGCAGTTACTGTTTTGTATGAACTGACATAACAAATCTGAATTTATCAATATTCCAATAATTATGTAACAAATCGACAGAGGAACATAGCGATCACTGTTCTGTAACTTTATTTCTCCATTTCCCGAGTCATAGTCCATATTGGTGGTTTAATATTTTATTAGGCACTATTATTTTCACAGGTATGATATTATGCCTCAATAAACCCTTTTTACCAATATAAATAGACATGGAAGCATTTAAACTAAGCATTTTCTATGGATACATTTTTAAAAGCGCAAATCACATATGGACAAATATTTCTATTATGCCTCCCACATAAATAGCATATCATGTAGATGCACTGCTCCACATTTTAGGGCCATGTATTCAATCATGGCAAGTGAGGTAGTTAACAGGCGCACAAATAAGCCAACATGCCATGATACCCCTTACCAATAGCACCCTATACAAAGTCTATAAAAGAATCACAACAGATGGAATCCCTCAATTCTCATATAGTTAGCTCTACTCACACGTAATAGCAGGCAATGGATAACGTGATGGACCTCCCTCTCACAAGTATAGATTCAGACTGCCTCACCATACCCATATGTGTCTCTGTTATTCGAGTATTCAACATTTACAGTAATTTAGTTTTACCTGACAACAGATATTCTGTTAGTAATCTCATTTGATGTGTCATAGATGTATAGTTGAGCAAACTTAGGTGTGGCACCATCCATTGGCAATATACTCCCAATCATATGCACATTTTGCCCATTTATCCTGTAAACATATGGGCCTCGTCCATCATTTATTTTTCTATCAATTCTTCCACCCATTGATGTAAACACAAACATCATATTGTATGTTCTAATATGTGATTGAAAGTGATTGCTTTGAGGGTGTTCTCCGGATAGTAAAGCTAATAATTCAGCAGGAGGATCTTGTAAAGCTGGAAGATGAACTTTCCCTTGATGACAACACATTCCGAATCGCGGCAAACTTTCATGTTTCTATCCTTTCAGACGTTCATCACTCCACATTTTAGCATTACAATAAGAACAAATGAAATCTTGATCACCTAAGTCCTTGTATCTTTGCAATTCTGTGAGTTAGTAAATTAAAAAAATTGGAATGGGTTTTTATATAAGGTGATGCCTAAATAAAGCAGAAAAAAATGTAGCAAATTAAGTATTCACTGTTTTACCATAAACATTACTTGCTAAAGTGCTAGACTGACCATGCTCCTGGAATGAACTCTGGGGTAATTTGTTTGCTTTCTTGCGACGAATATCAAGCCTCTGCAACCTTGCTAAGCTGTGAAGGGTTTGATTTGGCGCTGGCATTGCCGAACAATCTAAAAAAAAAAAAAAGAAGAAAAAGGTAATTGAGCTATCCTTTAAACAGTTATCAACGTGAAAAAGAAGCATACTAAATTGTATTTACCAATTAAGTAGTGATACTTCATAATAATGAGTAACAAATAATTAATACATGTTTTTTAAGGAACTATCACCTATTATATTAGATAATGAAAACTCTGACAACAATAATACAATATGCGATAATTATTAGTTAATATTCATATCGATGTTCACAGTGGAGAATATGAAAAAATGATAAATATTTAGGTATCAGTCAGCTCTCTAGAATACAAAAATCATATAAGATTATCTTAATTGAATAAAAATTATACTATTCATATATTGTGCTATGAACAAAATTCTTATATGATAACATTTACATATTTATATCAAAATATGTACATGATATATCATCAACATTAAATATATACCAGTTATTAGTGGATTTTTGGATTAATTACATTTCACTTAATAGTTTTATTCAGTTTTGATATAAAATACGCCAAACTTAGTCAAAGAAACCGTCAACTCCAGAACATTTGTTTATGAGAAAAATCTAGGTGATCAGAGAAAATTATTTTCGCCAGATAGAACTTTATGGTAAATCAATTCTGTAATGCTGATACATGGTTCTTTATTGGGGAAGCTTACTATTTGTTATTGTTCTCAATGCTGATCGGTTAGACACCACTTTTTGTTTTTTCGGCCGCGAAGCTTGAGTATCCACACTTGAGTTTTCTGTGGAGGTAGATAGCATGTAAATGTATTGTTAAGCCAATACCGAAGAGTGTCCACAATAGATAGCTAAATAACCCAAAAAATGTTCATACACACCGTCAACATATCCATAACATTTTCTCTTCTTTTTCCTGAGTATATCTAAGCGTTGAGCCCGTGCCATGGCAAACATAGTATTTTCTGACGAAATTGCAGCATATACAAAGATAATTATTAGACAGGTCATAATATACATACATTCCAAGTACAATCAAATAAATCGGCAGACATGAGAAATGTCTCTGTTTGTCGAGTTGCAACAGCCATGATTAAAACAACATATCTGATAGGTTGAATGTTGATAAACATGGTAAATTCCATGAATGGAGAATAGTAGGCTACTGTGTGAATAGAAGATTATGCCACAGCTAAGTAATCATTCATCGGATAAAATAGCAATATAATGTAGTCACAGAAAAAAGTAGGTCGGGGTGAGAAATCGCGATATGCCATGGTTTTGATATAGAAATGAGACAAAGAAACCTGGAGAAAATACTGCTGTTGGGCAAGAGCCATCATTAGCCATGCTGAGACTTGCTGGAATTGAGACTGCTGTCTTTGAATAGTCTTCGCTTCATTCAGTTCATTATCTTTATGTAATCTATTTATTCTATATTTTATATGAAAGCTTGTGAGGTAGTTAGTTAGAGTATACCGCCATAAGTGCGTAGCAGGAAAACACAACACTCGTACGTGACATATGAATTGAAGACGTGAGGAAGTGGTGGCAGTTGAAAGGAAGCACGTCTTGCACTTGTCACGATTTAGCTAAATAAGGCCCTTTCTATAAATCTTAATGTATCAATTATTAAAATGTTAGATAAAAAATTTAACATATTTTGAATTCGCATGTTCTAGGTACTCATTAATTATTCTAGGGGTATACTCCCATTTATAATTTGACAACGGTATAATTTTTTAACTGACAGTATAAATCGGATAGGAAAAACTTGGTGACACAATTGCACAAGTATCTATATTAATTGTAAACTGTTTCGCTGTGCACAAGTAAAACTGTAATTGGGATTTAATTGTTTCAAATGACGTAAGTTGGGTTTCCTTAGTTAACATAATCTTGGTATGATCAACTTGGTGGAAACGCAAATTAAAACCTCACCTATGTTATCATAATTTTGCAATGCATTGGATACTTGACACTAATTAATTTAACTTTGACTAATATGTACATTTAAGACATTCATGTAACTCCCACATGTATGCGCCACATGTATGCGTTTTTAAAAAATTCTGAATATATTTTTAGCATAGATGAGTTCATTTAAATAATATTCACTTCATCTAGACACGTAATTTAATATATTGTTTTGTAACTGGTTAAAACCTCAGGTGATTACATAATATAGATCACCGGTTCATAAAAATTAATTGACATCCCTTAATTATGCACTACCATGCTGGCTGATTAAAATCATTGTGTGTTCACGTTGCACTGAAGGAAAAAATAATAAAAGAGATGGAGAAAATTTTTTTTTTTAAGAAAAAGAACTCCAAAACATATAATCAGCCATAATAAATGCCTAATAAATCGAGCGATATTTTTTCAACATGTACAAGCAGATCTTGCATATCCTGAGGTAATATATGTAGAAATTTTAAATATAAAACGTTATTACCTAAAATGATTTTTGTACTGTCATATATTATATATAGAAGGGAACAAATTAATATCTTAATAACCTGTTTTACTTTTTGCTAAAAAAATTAACCTGTTTTATTTTTTCCATTTAAAAATAATATGAACTCCTAACCCATTAATCAGCAATTGACCTGGGAAGTGGGTGTTGCCCGTTATGAAAAAACTGTCCATGGCCACAACAACCCACTACCCATGTAAATAGGAAGAAGTTATTATCAAATAACTAAAAAATTAAAACATAAAAAAAACAAAAAATCATCTATTAACTAAGGAAATTATGTAAAATATTGCATGAATAATAAAATAGACGAAATATCGATCATATTTTTCTTAATGGTTCTAGGACGAAATATAAAAAACACTTACAAAATAGATAAGTATGAAATGAAACCAACGAAATTGTTTGACCATTATAAAAAGCATAATTGTCTCTAAGCAAAAGACCAACAAAATAATAACTGGAAATAAATATATAACCTAAAAGCATATTAAAAGCACACCAGATTAGGAATAAGAGCTAGAAATGACATGAACAACATGACAGAAAGTTTGAAATCATCAACTCAAGCCTATTCTTCCTGGATTTGTTTGCGTTTTGCTCTGCGGCGTCTTGCAAATGATGTATTATTCTCATTAGCTTCAAGATTTCCACCAAGTGGATGATTTAACATATTTTCAGTACCGTTCTTCGCACCATTATGTCCAGATGTAGTAGAAGGGATTTCCATGAAACCAGCATTGTGCTTGCTACTCTCTACTTCAACCTGACAATCAGTTGATGGGAGATCACCAAAGGGGTTTGCCTTCTCAACATTGGCAGTGTTTACAATTGCAACTTTAGATTCTACTATGGACTTCATTGCTTCGAAACCTGGGTCTATTGTATTTGCCACTTGGTGTGTAGAGGTTGAGTCAAATTTTGATAATTCAGAGAAATTTGCATGCACGGTTTGATTAGCAGAAGAACTTGCACCGTCAGATGATTCTATCAGGCACTGCTCAGTGTTCTGCGTAAATGTAAAGATTTAGATGTGTAGAAACATATGTATATATTTGTGTAATGCATCCAAAACATAAATAAAATGATATAATAGAAAATGAAATAGCTATGCCTTTTCTTCTGTGAGACCAACGGAAGTACAACCCTCTGATGCAATGTCTTCATAAGATGTGTTCAAGAAAGACTGCATTATGGCTTTATCATTTGTCAACCGAGTAGCTACACACACATTGGAATTCCCATTGACATAATCTCCTGGAATACGTATCTTGAACAAATACCTCTTCCAAGATATCTGCTCAAGAATATATGACAATATACCTTCATCGGAGTCATCTTGGATAAATAATTGATGAGTGGTTAGAAAATGTAAACGGCACAGGATTAAAAACATGCATGACACAAAACAATTTGTATGCTTGCTGTTTAACAACCTGATTAGTCTGACGTGCCTTCAACTCTGCTGCTGAACACCCAAGCAGTTTGGATAATTCTCGGTCAAAAATCACAACATGACATGATCCAGTGTCATCCAGTATCTCACAGTCCACCATGAACCTGCTAATAAAATATCAGTATTGTATAAAATAATACATATTTTTGTATGAAAATTGTGACCACCGAAAGAGATATATCACATTAACATTACCTGGGAATAACAGCTTTTACTATAGCTTGGCACTTTTCGCAAAAGAAACCTTCTCCATCTGGAACCACTTTCTTGCTACACTGTTTGCATGATGTGTACATCCATCCACGATCAGATCTCACATCTACAATATTTGCCATAGTAACCACTATACATTCCTGTAATAATAACACAAAAAATATATACAATATTAAGATAAGAATAGTAAGATTGACAAAAATACAAACAAACGAAGTAGAAAACAATGCATTATGCTAGCTACGCACTGCTGGTCCAGATCGTAAATCCACTATTTTTCTTCGGTCATCCAAAGCCAATAGATCGTCGGCCACAGATACTACAATTTGTGGAGCAATTCGAGCAGGTATTTGGCCCAACTGAATCCCAGCACCTTTCAATCTGTGAAAAATATTTATTAAAAAAAAGATAAATGCTATCATATACAATAAAACTTGGAATAAATGTAGACTCTATTATACTCAAACCAATGTAATTGCATACTTCTGCACAAACTCCTGAACTTCTTGTATTGTAGGATGAATCAGGAGACGGGAAGAGTACATGGAATTAGAGACTTTTCTCTTTCCTGCCATGCCATTACATGGAACAAAATTAGATTTATTATTGTTTAAAGGAACCCAATGTAACTATGGTGTCAAATAAATAGTATCAGACCTTTAAACTCCCTAACTTTGCACAGTTGAATGATGATGATGGTAGAACCAGTATGGACACGAGACACATGCTGCAGAACTTCATTAGTAAAATCTCCTGACAATGTACACTCCAGTTTTTCCTTCCTGTCAAAATGAAATAAACAAAAAGAAAAAATTCCACTCTAAACCCAAGTTTTTAATCATTGACTTGGTTAAACTGGGAGAAACAAACTCAGAATAATAGTGTACCCTTCATCCATTAACTCTACATCAAGCCTAAACTGTGTGCGTCCGTTGACATTGCATTCTTCTTTTTCTCCCACTCCAGTTAGTAACCCGATGACATCTACAAGAGAAAATATAGAGTTAGCCCACCACAAATAATTTTAACATAATAATCACATATCCAACACTTATATCACAGCCTACCAATTAGATATCGATCATCAAACTGATTGGATAATATTTCAGAGAATGAACGGAATGCGAAACCAAAGTTGTTTATTTTGCCATCATCCGCATATGGTCGAACAGAAGTGGAAAAAATAAAGTTTGCTCGGTAGGGATGATCAGTGGTTCGGTATGAGCCTGTATTGGGAGACACATAAAAATACGACACCAAATATATTTTTCCCTCTTCAAAATTCTTGCGATGTCGTCGAAGGAAGGCAGTCTTAACTGTAGCATGGATGTTGTCACCCTGTAAGAAAATAACTCTTAGAACACAAGAAGTAAGATGCCTAAATTATTCAGTAAAACACTTACATCCTCATCCCTGAGAATCATTTCCAGGGATGATATCTCTTCATGAGAGTAGCATCCGGGCATAGTCCATAATCGAACCACACGAACTTTGATTTTCCAATTTTGTCTGCATGGGTTAATAGCACGAACTGAATCAAATGCAGGAGCCATGTGAACACCTGGAGAACACCGATGGTGCGATAACAACAGGAGGAATTTGCTAATTGGAATAAATCCACAGTCTCCTGCTCTTTATATAGCGAAAAATTCATTATTTTTTCTATTACTATTATATATTGCATGATCCTAAACGTGGACCAACCGATAAATCCAAAAATTACTTATAATGAAATAATCTACCCACGGTTTATTTTAAACTGCCCATCAGCCACAAATTTCGGATAAGTCAAGCTAAAAATTAAAATTCATACATTATTTAAAAAATGAATAAAAAATTAGGCAAATTGAAATATTTCTGGAAAAAAAAAGTGGGAAAACTGAAATGGGAGGGTAGCAAGCAAATATAATATGATTTATTAAATTGCAAAAGAGAGGATAAAACAATTATTAAATGAGTTATTAATTAGTAATTAATTAGTAAAAGAGAACGTGGGCCAACCAATATATACACAAACTACTTATAATGAAATAATCTACCCACGTATATTGCATGATCTTAAACGTGGGGCAACCAATATATCCAATAATAAAACAATTATTAAATGATTTATTAATTAGTAAAAGAGGAAATGGGCCAACCAATATTTACAAATATTACTTACAATGAAATAATCAACCCACGTTCCATATTGCATGATCTTAAACGTGGGGAAACCAATATATGCAATAATAAAACAATTATTAAATGATTTTGTAATTAGTAAAAGAGATGACTCTTTATTTCAAAATGATTAAAAAATTGGTGCATTTATTTAGAGTCTATACGGTTTATTTTAAACTGCCCATCAGCCACAAATTTCGGATACATCAAGCTAAAAATTAAAATTCATAAATTATTTAAAAAATGAATAAAAAATTAGGTAAACTGAAATATTTCCGGAAAAAAAAACGTGGGAAAACTGAAATGGGAGGGTAGCAAACAAATATAATATGATTTATTAAATTGCAAAAGAGAGGATAAATTATTTAAGAAACAATTAAAAAATTAATGTATTTATCTTCTTCCTTGTTGTGCCACTTGTCGCATTTCTGGATCACCTTGGGGAGACCCCTCCCTTATAATAGTAATAGATTTTAACGTTTACCATGGGGAAAAAAAAAAAACCTCCAAGTCTTTATACTTTGGGATATGCTCCAAAAAAAATTGTCTATAGAAACCTGTTCACAAAAATTGTTATCAGTTGCTTATTATTTAACAATTGTTGTCAAAACCAATAATATCCTAATTGTAATTTTTCTAGTTTCAATGTCTTTTTTATGATTTTTTTCATTAATTATTTGCCCCTTGCATTTCGGGGCAAGCATGCCAACATCACCCCCCGCCCGGTGTTTTCTTTTTTTTTTAAGTGAGACTTACATCAGTTACAAATGAGTTCAGTCATCTTCAAAAGTCAAAACTCATCTGTGTGAATCAAAATGTGAAGGCATAATCAATAAATTTATTCCTCTTAAACCAATAGTTTCTTTGTATTACAATGTTCATGTTGAATCAATTCCTTCATCTTCTTCATTGGTTCGTTGTCTTTCCTTCAACAAATCACAGGAGGCTCAAACTTTAATTGAATAAACAAATGGGAGCTAGGCATATAAATCATTGAAACACATGGAGTAAAATCACCAACGCTCTCTTCTTTGGATTCTTCTCAAAGTTAGACGGCGTAAAATCCAACAAAAAAAGAATAGAAGATGAAGAAGGGTGGACGAAGGTGAAGAGAAATCCCACCTTTAAACATTTAGGATAGATCAGCTAAAACCCATTAGTGACAGCAAGTTCGACAAATACATGAAAAAAGAGAGGAGTCTCGGGAGGAAAAGAAAGAAAGGCAGACAAGAAATGAGAAAGAGAATGGATCAAAAAAAGCTGAGGCCATATTAGAAAAATTTGTACAATGGTTCCCCAGCTGTGAGAATAGGGATGTCATTTCCATTTATGACTCTATGGAGGTTAATTTCCCGCTGTAACTTCAGTTACGTTGCTGAGAAGATGAAGGATGGAATAGAGAAACACGAAGAAGGTGAAGACAAATCCTACCTTTAAACCTGGAGTGGCAACGTTTTTAGTGGATGAAAGTGGTGGTGTTCCTGTTAGCCACCCTGTGCTCCATAAGTCAAATAAGGGTGTTCGTGGCAGGGGTAGAACCGGGACAAGCTTGTCCCGGTGAATAGGAACGAGAAGGCTTTTCAGTCTTGTGTCCCATCCCGAAGGCGTCTCCATCCCAAACGGGATGGGGAACGAACAGGGATAGGACCAAGACGTCCCATCCAATTTTTTTTATTTAAAAACCTGAAATAGTTAATTAGGCCAAATAAAAAAGAGATTTTGCATTGTCACCAAACAGAAAGAAAGAAAGTCATAACATGAAATTTTTGCTCAAGATTATTAGGAAATAATAATAGACATGTGAAACTTAAGGAGAGGGGACATATTCTTCAAATCTGGATTTTTGAGGTCATAAGCAATTCTTCATGTATTTGAATAGAAATTGAAAAAACAAAACCCAACAATATAGTGATATACACATCAAAATGGTATAGGACTCAAATCTAAGGAAACCATCTTCTATTATATGAATACAATTAGCTAATTAAATACTCAAATGTTTAGGTAAAATGAAGGTGATTAAAAAAAAACCAAAAAAAATGGTACTCCTCCGGTCCTTAATATAGGATCCAATTCTTGAATTGGTTTTGGTCCTAAATATAAGATTCATTTATTATATTTATCAATATTCTCTAAATTATTCTTATGGATACTCTCTCAACTATAATTAAGTAGAAGAGGGAGAGGGGTATTAAGAAAGATGATTATGGTATTTTAGGAATAATATGTCACTTTTTTCATAATTAACTAACTTACCTAACTTCCTTAATCTAATCAAATTAGTTAAATGGGTCTTATATTAAGAACCGAAGGAGTATTCCCGAATTATCATGAGAACAAGAGTCATGCAAGCCTAAAAAACAATAAGCATGAGTGCTACCAAGTCCATTCCATATACAAAATGTCACCAATTAAATTAAAAAAAAAAATTAAACCAGTTAAAATAAGAAACAAGAGTTTTGACAAGACACATCCGTCCTGCATCCCGTCCCATTCCGAATCAATTTTTGTCCCTTCCTGATTTCATCTCACCCCGAAAATTTTTGGGACAGGACTATCCCATATCAAAATGGTCAAGACCAGGATAAAACAACTAGGATGAGACACTTTGAATACCCTTAGAGTTTGATACACATGAACAGAGACTTTGAGATGAAAATAAACTTGCTTCAGCCAAGGGAAGGAAAAGAAAAAAAGAAATGGGAGAGAGAAGGGATTATGAAGCAATGAAAATGGACCAAATTTGAAATTCAAAACGATAATGTATTAGCCCAATATATTAGCCAACTATTAGTTGTTACTGTTCACATGAGCAGTACATGAGGGGATAATGTATGCTGTGGATATTTAAGTTATATAGTTACATGGAGAAGTAATCAAATAATCATTATAGATTAATTAGTAGTAACTCATTTATGACAAGCATCGTGTATAAGAAGATGGCAGCAGTCGCGAGCCACTTTGCCAGCTAAATGACTTGATGAACAAATTTATTTAATAAGTGATTTTCATTCGCACATCCTAATAAGTTGAAATTGAATTTTCTCTTGACAATTCCTCATGTTTAGCTTAAAATTCTCCTAACAACTTGCTTATGCAGCTTTACCAAAATCATCTTCTTCTTTTTTTTTTTTTTTGAGGTAGTATTAAACAAACGACGCCTATATGTTTTTGGGAGAGCCTAGTCCTGGATTCTGTTGCCTTGGCTATTAATGTTGAGAAAGTATGCAAGTTTTGGTGAGCTCAAGCGTTCTTTCTTTTCATTGCCTAATATGGTTCGAAGAAGAAAAGGTGCAAAATTACAAGTAAGAAAGCATTATAGTCCAAAGCATTCATAGGTCATAATATGATAGGTCAATGCTGTTTGAATACTCTGTGAGGCTCTGTTTCTCACTATGCCTGACAAAGAAGCGCAATCATTCTTAAAGGCATATCTTAACAATAAGTCTTAAAAAGACATGAAAATAACTTTAAAATCCACCTAGTCTCTCCATAAATTTAGAAGAAACAACACAGCACTCTAATTATTTCAGGCAGAAACAAGGTTTCCTTTTTTTGAGGTACAAAGGCAAGCCATAGCCTGAGAACAAGTAGACCAGGACATCAACCCAGGAACACCTTCCCATCGGCTAGACAAGAAGAAACAACGTTTTCTTACCAAATATCAAACATTATACAAACTTGAACATTAACAATAAAGAGTACTCCTTGAATCAAATCAAGTGATTGTGGCTCCATTCAAATACTGGCTTCACGCTGTACCACTGCTGCTCGGAGCGAATATGCCCTGCATGTCTCCATACCACAATACTATGAGAAATTGAATAATGTAATCAAATTAAACGAAGAGGATAGAAAAGATTAAAAATTAAAAATTACTCTAGCCATATTTACAATCATTAGTTCTTAATATGTCGTTCACCTCATTAGCGTAATTTGAAGAACATTTTGAAGCTTACCTACGATGATGATCGACAAAGTATGGTTGGAGCAGATGCTTAGCTTGGGGTTGGTCCCACTGTAGTGATTCCCACCATTGTTTTTGACATGTTATTTGTTCAAAAGTAGTTGACGGTGACACATGCTGAACTTTCTCAATTCCAAACAGACCAAGAGGCAATTTATTTAGAGAAATGCAGTCATAGATTTTAATGCTGCGTAGAGAATCACATTGAATGTTCCCTTTGTATATGCTTCTTAGGTTTGGTAAAAGGATCAGTTTCAACCTCTGCAATTTTGGAAGTATCACTTCGGTTGCATCTGCATGGCTGCTGTCTTCACCGTTTGTATTCCTCTCTCCTTCAATAATTTCTTCCATTGCATGGCACCTAAAGATGGTAATTTCTTCAAGACTTTTAAGTTGGAAAATGAGGTGCATTGAGAACAGACATTTCAATGATGAACATCCATCCACATTAATACTCTTTAGGTTCATTAGAGTACCTGGTTTCACAACTTCCCCGCAAATCATCCTCAATTTTGGCAAATTAGATATATTCATTCTCTCTAGCAGCGGAAAATTGTTCTCCTCAGATTCCAGAATGCATGTTATCTTGGAACACCTTCTTATATCGCAAGTTTTCAAGCACATTGCATTCAACAAATGCAAAGATAAGCGTTCGATCATATCAAGAGAATTATGAATTACTAACTCCGTAACATTTGTTGGAATTAATTCAGTAATCTCTGCTTCTGAAACGTTCTCTGCCGCATTTCTCATATCTATTGCCAGACTAGTTTTCTCCAGTAATTCTGGAACTTGAAATCGAAACCCAACGACAAGCTTGAACTCCTTTAATTGAGAAAACTCGAGACATCTGACAATTGTTTTATAAGTTCGCATGCTAAGTAGTTGCATGTGTACAAGAGACAACGTATGACAAGATATGATTTCTTCAACTCTAACTGGATAAGAACAATCTTTTGTATCCTTAGATGATACCCCAATCATAGGCGAACCCAGAGTCAACAAATCCTCCAGAAGATTAAATCTCGATACGACCCCAGCTCCTAAGCTTTGAACGGATGTGAAGAAATCCAGGTGTCTCAAATTGGTCAATTGTTCCATCCCTTGTGGAAGTTCTGTTAAACGTCCAGAAAATGAAAAATCTAAGTATTTCGATATAGTGAGCCTTGCTAAAGATGGAACTTGAATAAGATTCCAACAGTGGCTTAATATCAAGGCACATAGATTCTTCAAATTCAAAAGAGACATAGGCAGAGCAGGAGAGATCAAGAACTTTTAACCCTTCCATGCTGTCAAAGAAGTGATCCAATATATTTTTTTCAAATGAGTTATATTGAAGCAGCAAAGAAGTGATTCCAGGACACATTGGACTGAAGTCAATAGATTTCACATCATTTCTCATTAATGATACCCATTGAACATCTTCTTTCCATTCGTGAGGCAGTGGTGGTCTAACTTGTCCCATGCCAGCATTCACAATGCATCTAGAATTTTTACTCATGATTGTAACAGCATATCTCTTTATCAAATCATGCAATTTGACACATCTCACCCCATTCTCAATTTTTAATTCTGACAAGCAAGCGGATATTAATTCATCTATAATCATCTGCCCCTTTTGTTTTGTCGCAGACATGTTCACATCACCCAATAAATCTTCCCACACCCAATAATTAATCAATTCGTTCTCATCAATTAGATGACCTTTTGGGTATAAAGCACAAAATAGAAAGCAAGATTGCCTTGTATCATCCTTTAGTTTTGAATAGCTCAACTTCAAATGAGAACATACTGCTTCATCAATGTTGTATATACCATCACTTGAGGTTCTTAACTCTTCTAATGCATTCTGCCACTCTCTTATACTAGTTGTGTTCCTCAATGCACATCCAATTGCAATGATAGGTAGAGGCAAACCACCACATTTTTTGGCCACTTCCATGGCAATTGATTGCAAATCTGGATCTGATAGCACACGTTCCTCACCAACTTTGTCCTTAAAGAGATTCCACGCTTCATCATCTTCAAGAACTTTAACTTCGACATCCTTGTCTATTTCCATCACTCTGCACACCATAAGGTTTCGAGTTATTATCACTAATTTACAGCCCTTCTCTACCGTTGGCACAGGAATTCCTACTTCTTCAATAGAGAATGGTTCCCAAACATCATCTAGTATAAGTGCAAATGCCTTCCTCCTTTTAAAAGCTTCTAACAGTTTTGAAGCTCTTGCTCGTTCGTCATCAGTTTCTTGAAAAGTCAAACCCAACTTCACAGCAATATCTTGTCGCATCTTCTTTAGATCTTTTGACGCTTCCACCCAAATAGTGCAATTAAATTGACTACTTCCTTTCACTAGGCAATTGTTAATCTCTGACATGATAGTTGTTTTACTTGCTCCTCCCATCCCCCAAACACCAATCCTTCTGGCATTCTCATCAAGTAGAAATCCCCAAATCTTCATAAAGATTTGTTTATGTGTTTCGTATTCAATCATTGGTGTTGCAGACAAAACATCACCTCTCTTGTTTATAGGAATAGGAATGGAATACTCTTCACGTGGAACAGTTTCTAGAAGTTCATTAATATCAATGATCTTCTCCTCTATGAGTTCCCCTCGCTTGATTCTTGAGCAAATGCAACAACACCCTATAGTTGGTCTATGCAGGCCATTTTCAGTTATGAGACTAACAACTTCTCTTATTGCCTGATCAACTCACTCAAACCATAAATTGCATTCATTTGTTGGCTCTGCCCCTTTTAGATGCCACAACTGATTTATTTGATATTCAACATCCTTTTTACGAGCATCCAATTGGCGCATCAAATTACGCAGCTGCCGAATCCTCCTCCTGGGTGTAATCAAGTGTTTACAACTGTTTCTAAATACTTCATGCAGAGAGCAACACAAGCCTATGATGCTTGACACACTTGCAACAACTTCCATGGTTGGCTCCAGGGAATTCAAACAGAGGAATGTAAATACCGAATATTGCTGCAGCTAGTGTATCCTATCAGCTAAATATTAAAACCATAATGGAACGTCAAATATATGATCTTTGAAACTATGCATGGAACAACATGAAGAGAGAGAATATATCTGAACAACGGTATCCCATATAGAAAATCATAAACAAAAACCAGCTGGAGCCATACAAGTACAACTGAAATGGTAGCAAAATGATGGTTTTAGTGAGACATACATTTCATGCAATCTTTCCTAATATATTGTGTGATATGACTAAATCATGCTTCTGTGTGATATGCGTATGAGCAAGCAAGTGAAAGACTAGTGTCAAGAACAGTGTGAACTATCAAACGGTCAAACGTTATTTCAGTTGAATCTTCAAAGTATTGCAATCTACTGACAGGAAAATTTAAGGGAATGTTTATCAACGGGGCCTATCCAGTCACTTCGGACCAGGTTGAACAGGGCTCATTAAAAACACAAAAAAAAAAAAGCTGAATCCTAGTGTTGCATAAGAATATAGTTGAATCTGTAGAAAAAAGAGAACAATAAAGGGGGAGAAAAGGAAAAAATCCTACCAAGCTTCAGTTTCAACACAAAAACTCAGATTTTTTCCAAGCATGGCAGTGCAGCGCCGCTTCCCCTGCCTCTTTTGAAATCTTCCGTGTATCCTCTGCGGTTCTTCAAATCGATTCTGTGTTATGTTTCCATCCTTCTCTTCCATCCGTATTGATGGAGAGAAAGTCGGAAAAGAAGGAGGAAATGTAGAAAAAAGAAACAAGAGAAGAGAGAAAAGAATTGGGGAAATCACAAATAAAGACCCTCGAATTAGCAAAATCACTCTATGGTCACCAGAATATGCCAAATTACCATGAGGGACCGGTCTCAAATTGTAATTATGAAATCATGGTCAAATTACCAAAATACCCCTCTTTAATTTTTTTTTTTTTTAAAAAGAAAGCCACTGCCTCACCGGAATCCGGCCACCGGCGCCGAAGCTCCGGCAGCCGCTTCCGGCCACTGTCAGCGGCCGGACCCTGGCATCCGACCGCCGGAGCTCCGGCGCCGGCGGCCACTTCCGGCGGCCTTCCTTTGTTTTTTTTTTTTTTGCAACTTTTTTTTTTAAATAGTGGGGGAAGTGAGGTTGGGGGGATTTGATCCCCAACCTAATGCTTCCCAAAATAAGGAATGACCATTGAGCCAACAAATTTTTGTTAACATTATGATGCAAAAAAAAATATAAGTTAACTCATTTACTCTTGTTCCAGGTGATAACAACAATACATTTGGAAATAACAAGTTCTGATTGTAAAATAACACGTCTGGAATAAAAATTTAACAATATGTTTTTTTTATAACAATAAATTTTGTTGCAGGTAATAACAACAATACATTTAAAAATAACAAGTTCTGATTATAAAATAACAAGTTTGGGATTAAAATTTAACAACACGTTTTTTTTATAACAACACACTTTGTTTCAAGTGATAACAACAATACATTTAAAATAACAAGTTCTGATTATAAGATAATAAGTCTAGGATTAAAATTTAACAACACGTTTTTTTATAACAATTAATTATTTTATACTTTTAAAAAATAAATTATTTATAACTTATAAAAAATATTTTTAATATATTTATTTCTCTAAAAAATACTTTTTAATCTGTATATCTATACAACTCATTATAAATCAAACTACTTCTTATAAATTATAAAGTATTTATAATAAGGCATTTTTAATCTATTAATCATAGTATAAATTTTATATTATTTCATTCTTTAAATATTAAAAATAGTTTTTATATTTAAAGAATAAAATAGTATTTTTAATTATAAATTAGAGATAAATTTCATTTATAAATTTAAGCAATCAAAAAGTATTTTTAATCCACAATAAATTGTACTATTTATAATTTATAAGAATTAGTTTGATTTATAATAAGTTGTATAGATATATAGATTAAAAATTTTAAAAAAAAAATTAAAAAAGTGTGTTGCCATTTTCCCTAAATTTTATTTATAAATTTGAACACTAAAAAAGTATTTTTAATCTATAAAAAATTATACTTCAAGTTCTGATTATAAATTGGAGATAAAAATTATTTTTTTTAGCAAATTAAATAGATTACAAGTACTTTTTATAAGTTATAAATAATTTATTTTCCAAAAGTATAAAATAATTAATTGTTATAAAAAAAAAGGTGCTGTTGAATTTTAATTCCAGACTTGTTATTTTATAATCAGAACTTGTTATTTCCAAATGTATTGTTGTTTTCACCTGAAACAAAGTGTGTTGTTATAAAAAAACATGTTGTTAAATTTTAATCCTAGACTTATTATCTTATAATCAGAACTTGTTATTTTTAAATGTATTGTTGTTATCACTTGAAACAAAGTGTGTTATTATAAAAAAAACGTGTTGTTAAATTTTAATCCCAAACTTGTTATTTTATAATCAGAACTTGTTATTTTTAAATGTATTGTTGTTATTACCTGCAACAAAATTTATTGTTATAAAAAAAACATATTGTTAAATTTTTATTCCAGACGTATTATTTTACAATCAGAACTTGTTATTTTTAAATGTATTGTTGTTATCACCTGGAACAAGAGTAAATGAGTTAACTTTTTTTTTTTTTTGCATCATAATGTTAACAAAAATTTGTTGGCTCAATGGTCATTCCTTATTTTAGGAAGCATTAGGTTGGGGGATCAAATCCCCCCAACCTCACTTCCCCCATTATTTAAAAAAACAAAGGACGCCGGGGTCCGGCCGCCGGAGCTCCAGCGCCGATGGCCGGATTCCGGTGAGGCAGTGACTTTCTTTGTAAAAAAAAAATTAAAGAGGGGTATTTTGGTAATTTGACCATGATTTCATAATTACAATTTGAGACCGGGTCCCTCATGGTAATTTAGCATATTCAGGTGACCATAGAGTGATTTTGCTAATTCGTGGGTCTTTATTTGTGATTTCCCTAAAAGAATTTGTATATTTGAAAAAACAAAAAGAAGTTCAAAATTATAATATTTAAAAGGTCAAAATATCAGGAAAGAAAGTTTGCTGATATGGTATTTTACAGATATAGTTAAATGATTAAAATATTGTCGTATCAAATTTTGTTTAAAAAAGATATCAAACTTATCATTGCTTGTATATTTATTTTGATTGGTTATTCAACACTTATCATTAATAGTTCACAACTTATTAGTAAATAACTTATTATTACTAGTATATTTCTTATCATTTATTATTCAATACTTGTTATTTTCAATTTAGAATTTGTTAGTTAACCTTTTGATACAATTATATTTTTGTCTTTTAACTACATTTACAAATACCGGATCAAACATTATTTTATTTTAGGGGATTTTGACCTCTTAGATACCTGTATTATAATATTATAATTTTAAATTTCTTTTTATGTCATTTTCTTTATTTTTCTAATTTACATTCGTGTTCTGACTATTCTCTAACGCACTTTCTATTATAAAATTTTTTTTAGTTTTAATAATATTTATCCTTTCTTAAAAAGAGGAAGAGGTAATTTCGGGACACTATCCTCTCATATTTTCCACCGGTTTCGTTTTCGTTTCCTTTTGCTATCACTTTATAATTTCAGATGTTTAATATTTTATAAAATTATTATTATTTTATATAAACAAATTTATACTATCATAATTTGATCAATATAAACTGTAAAATGTTATTAAAATTAATGATGATATTTTATTTTATTTTTAAATTGTTCAAGTGAAATTGTGATCATTTAATTTATTTAAGTAAAATCATAATAATAATTTGAAAAAATTGCTGAGAAATCTCTTGGTTGCAAATTTTATTATCAAAGTTACTTGAAATTTGATTAATGACTTTAGGATTTGATCAAGACAACTTCTTTTAACTATGTGCAATATATCTTTAATTATGTGTAAAACGTACAATATGTGCACGTAAATAAAAATTTAAGATGAGTTGCATCTGTAAAAAATGAGTTGCACTTATTTAAAAGAACTGGATTATACCCGGGACCCTCACCTAAACTTTTTATTACCAAAAAAAAAATAGAGACATACATGAGATGTACTCTATGGTTGCAAGATAAAAATTGTCTATGCGGATCAATTTACATCAGTGAATGCTCGGCACAATAAAAATTAATAGAAGTTAAGTATTCTAAAAAATGTTAACTTGATAATTTTATGAGAAGTAACAGAGTTTAAAAGGTGCCAAATAGATTTGTACAAGGAATTACAAATAATAACTATAATAAAGGCATAAATAACTGTATCTATTTAAGGTTAACAAAAAAAGTAAATTTTGATTAAACTATGTAAGAAATTTACTTTAGAGAATTCAACGTAAACATAAGGGATTGTTGAAGGAAAACTATTTTCATTTTATTTTGACAAGTGATTTTGATTAGCCTATCAGAATAAGTTGAAAACAAATTTTCTTTTAACATTCCCTCGAGTTTAGCTTAAAATTCTCCCACAGGCTCTCTTAAAAGTAACTTAAAAGATCAGGCCCTAAACATGTGTGGGGGAGCACGTATGCAAGTTTTGGCAAGCTCAAAGGTTCCTTCTCTTCAGTAATAAACATGGTTCAGAGAAGGAAAAAAAAAAAGAGAAATTACAAGCAAGAAAGTATCATAATCCAGAGCATTCATAAACCATGATATGAGAGGCCAATGTTGTTTGATCACCCTGTGATGCTCTGTTTCTCACTACGCAATTGCCAAATATCAAACATTACACAAACTTCAACATTAACTGTAAAATAACACAACTTGAATCAAATCAACTGATGACAGTGGCTCCATTTTAATACTGCTTTCACGCCGTATGACTGCTACTTGGAGCAAACCTGTCAGTGCATGTCTCCATATCAGAAGCGAATAATGCAATCAAATTAAATACAAGTGGATAAAAGATTTTAAAAATAAAAAATTATAAGTTTATTTATTATAATATACATATGAACAAAGTGATATGTGCTCTGAGGCATACCTGCCACCAGGATGGACGACAAGGTATGGTTGAAGGAGATGCTTAGCCTGCGGTTGGTCCCACTGCAGTGATTCCCACCACTCTGTTTCACATGATATTTGTTCAAGAGTAGTAGTTGGTGATATTTGCTGACCTTCCTCTATTCCGAACAGACCCAGAGGCAATTTCTTTAGAGCTTTGCAGCGACCAACTTCAATGGTGTGTAGAGAATCACATTGAATGTGCCCATTGTATATGCTTTTCAGGTTTTCTAAATAATGCAATTTCAAGGTCTTCAATTTTGGAAGGATCACTTCGGCTGCATGGCTGCTGCCTTCAGCATTTGTATTCCTCTCTCCTTCAATAATTTCTTCCACTGCTGGGCAATTAACGACGCTAATTACTTCAAGACTTTTAAGTTCGAGGATGAGCTGCTTTTGGAACAGAAATTTCAGTGAGTCACATCTTTCAACATGAATACTCTTCAGGTTCTTTAGGGTACCTGGTTTCACAACTTCCCCGCATATCGTCCTCAGTTGTGGCAAACAATATAGTCTCATTCTCTCTAACTGTGACAAATTGTTCTCCTCACTTTCCAGAATGCATTCCATCCCGGAACACCATCTGATATCACAAGTTTTCAAGCACATTCCATCCAATAAGTGCAAAGACAAGCGTTTGATCACATGATGAGAATTCTTAATTACTAACTCCATCACATTTCTCGGAATCAATTCGGTGATCTCCGCTTCTGAAAGGTTCCTTTCTCCACAATTCATATTTATAACTAAACTTGTTCTCTCAAATAATCGTGAAGTGTCGTATCCGGCTAGAGACCCAACGGTAAGCTTGAACTCCTCCAATTGAGAAAACTCGAGACATTCAACAATTCTTAAATAAGCTGTAATGTCACGTAGCTGCATGTGCACAAGAGACAACTTATGGCAGGATGCAATTTCTTCAACCCCAACTGCATAAGGGTAAAAATTTGTATCGTTAGATGATACTACCATCATAGGCGAACCCAGAATCAACAACTCCTCTAGAAGAGTAAATTTGGACAAGAGTCCAGCTCCTAAGTTTTGGACGCATGTGAAGGAGAAATCCAGGTGTCTCAGACTGGTCAAATGTTCCATCCCTTCTGCAAGTTCTGTCAAGCTTCTAGAAAATGAAAAATCTAAATACTCCAATTTTGTGAGCCTCGCTAAAGAAGGAACACGAATAAGATTCCAACATTGGCTACATATCAAGGCACGTAGATTCTTCAAATCTGAAAGAGACATAGGCAGAGCACTGATCCCAGTATAGGAGAGATCAAGAACTTTTAGCCCTTGCATATTGTCAAAGAAGTCATCTGATATATTTTGTTCAAATGAGTTGCATTGAAGGAGTAAAGAAGTGAGTTGCATTGAACATCTTCTTTCCATTCCTGAGACGGCAGCAATTTTACTTGTCCCATACCAGCTTTCACAATGCATCTAGGCTTATGTACTCATGATTGTGAGGGCCATACCTCTCATCAAATCATGCAATTTGACATATCTCTCCCCATTCTCAATTTTTAATTCCAACAAGCAAGCAGATATTAACTACCGTATAATCTTTTGCCCCTTTCATTTCATCTCAGCCATGCTTCCACTACCCAATAAATCTTCCCACACCCAATAATTAATCAATTCATTCTCATCAATTAGATGGCCTTTTGGGTATAAAGCACAAAATAGAAAGCAAGATCGCCTTGTATCATCTTTTAGTTTTGAATACCTCAACTTCAAACGAGAACATACTGCTTCATCAATGTTGTATATACCATCACTTGAGGTTCTCAACTCTTCTAATGCATTCTGCCACTCTCTTATACTAGTTGTGTTCCTCAATGCACGGCCAACTGCAATGATAGCTAGGGGCAAACCACCACATTCTTTGGCCACCTCCATGGCAATTGATTGCAAATCTGGATCTGTTTCTCCCCAACTTTGTCCTTAAAGAGATTCCACGCTTCATCATCTTCAAGAACTTTAACTTCGACATCCTTGTCTATTTCCATCACTCTGCACACCATAAGGCTTCGAGTTATTATCACTAATTTACAGCTATTCTCTACCGTTGGCACAGGAATTCCTACTTCTTCGATAGAGAATGGTTCCCAAACATCATCTAGTATAAGTGCAAATGCCTTCCTCCTCTTAAAAGCTTCTAACAGTTTTGAAGCTCTTGCTCGTTCGTCATCAGTTTCTTGAAAAGTCAAACCCAACTTCACAACAATATCTTGTTGCATCTTCTTTAGATCTTTTGACGCTTCCACCCAAATAGTGCAATTAAATTGACTACTTCCTTTCACTAGGCAATTGTTAATCTCTGACATGATAGTTGTTTTACCTGCTCCTCCCATCCCCCAAACACCAATCCTTCTGGCATTCTCATCAAGTAGAAATCCCCAAATCTTCATAAAGATTTGTTTATGTGTTTCGTATTCAATCATTGGTGTTGCAAACAAAACATCACCTCCCTTTTTTATAGGAATAGGAATGGAATACCCTTCACGTGGAACAGTTTCTAGAAGTTCATTAATATCAATGATCTTCTCCTCTATGAGTTGCCCTCGCTTGATTCTTGAGCAAATGCAACAACACCCTATAGTTGGTCTATGCAGGCCATTTTCAGTTATGAGACTAACAACTTCTCTTATTGCCTGATCAACTCGCTCAAACCATAAATTGCATTCATTTGTTGGCTCTGCCCCTTTTAGATGCCACAACTGATTTATTTGATATTCAACATCCTTTTTACGAGCATCCAATTGGCGCATCAAATTACGCAGCCGCCGAATCCTCCTCCTGGGTGTAATCAAGTGTTTACAACTGTTTCTAAATACTTCATGCAGAGAGCAACACAAGCCTATGATGCTTGACACACTTGCAACAACTTCCATGGTTGGCTCCAGGGAATTCAAACAGAGGAATGTAAATACCGAAATGTATATTGCTGTAGCTAGTGTATCCTGTCAGCTAAATATTAAAACCATAATGGAACGTCAAATATATGATCTTTGAAACTATGCATGGAACAACATGAAGAGAGAGAATATATCTGAACAACGGTATCCCATATAGAAAATCATAAACAAAAACCAGCTGGAGCACATACATGTACAACTGAAATGGTAGCAAAATGATGGTTTTAGTGAGACATACATTTCATGCAATCTTTCCTAATATATTGTGTGATATGACTAAATCATGCTTCTGTGTGATATGCGTATGAGCAAGCAAGTGAAAGACTAGTGTCAAGAACAGTGTGAACTATCAAACGGTCAAACGTTATTTCAGTTGAATCTTCAAAGTATTGCAATCTACTGACAGGAAAATTTAAGGGAATGTTTATCAACGGGGCCTATCCAGTCACTTCGGACCAGGTTGAACAGGGCTCATTAACAAACACAAAAAAAAAAAAGCTGAATCCTAGTGTTGCATAAGAATATAGTTGAATCCGTAGAAAAAAGAGAACAATAAAGGGGGAGAAAAGGAAAAAATCCTACCAAGCTTCAATTTCAACACAAAAACTCAGATTTTTTCAAGGCATGGCAGTACAGGGCCGCTTCCCCTGCCTCTTTTGAAATCTTCCGTGTATCCTCTGCGGTTCTTCAAATCGATTGTGTGTTATGTTTCTATCCTTCTCTTCCATCCATATTGATGGAGAGAAAGTCGGAAAAGAAGGAGGAAATGTAGAAAACAGAAACCAGAGAAGAGAGAAAAGAATTTGTATATTTGAAAAAACAAAAAGAAGTTCAAAATTATAATATTTAAAAGGTCAAAATATCAGGAAAGAAAGTTTGCTGATATGGTATTTTACAGATATAGTTAAATGATTAAAATATTGTCGTATCAAATTTTGTTTAAAAAAGATATCAAACTTATCATTGCTTGTATATTTATTTGGATTGGTTATTCAATACTTATCATTAATAGTTCACAACTTATTAGTAAATAACTTATTATTACTAGTATATTTCTTATCATTTATTATTCAATACTTGTTATTTTCAATTTAGAATTTGTTAGTTAACCTTTTGATACAATTATATTTTTGTCTTTTAACTACATTTACAAATACCGGATCAAACATTATTTTATTTTAGGGGATTTTGACCTTTTAGATACCTGTATTATAATATTATAATTTTAAATTTCTTTTTATGTCATTTTCTTTATTTTTCTAATTTACATTCGTGTTCTGACTGTTCTCTAACTCACTTTCTATTATAAACTATTCTTTTTAGTTTTAATAATATTTATCCTTTCTTAAAAAGAGGAAGAGGTAATTTCGGGACACTATCCTCTCATATTTTCCACCGGTTTCGTTTTCGTTTCCTTTTGCTATCATTTTATAATTTCAGATGTTTAATATTTTATAAAATTATTATTATTTTATATAAACAAATTTATACTATCATAATTTGATCAATATAAACTGTAAAATGTTATTAAAATTGATGATGATATTTTATTTTATTTTTAAATTGTTCAAGTGAAATTTTGATCATTTAATTTATTTAAGTAAAATCATAATAATAATTTGAAAAAATTGCTGAGAAATCTCTTGGTTTCAAATTTCATTATCAAAGTTACTTGAAATTTGATTAATGACTTTAGGATTTGATCAAGACAACTTCTTTTAACTATTTGCAATATATCTTTAATTATGTGTAAAACGTACAATATTTGCACGTAAATAAAAATTTAAGATGAGTTGCATCTGTAAAAAATGAGTTGCACTTATTCAAAAGAACTGGATTATACCCGGGACCCTCACCTAAACTTTTTATTACCAAAAAAAAAAAAGAATTAGATTATACGTTTAGATGATAAATTTTTTAATAAGAAAATTTTTAATAATTGTATAAAATATTTGATCTATTGTTAAAACTTTAATTAAATTACAATAAAAGAAGAAATTAGAAAAATAAAAAACGGAAAATAACAGAATCGCCCAAAATAATGGACCTTTCCCCGCAGGCCACATCCTACTGCATGGAGCTTGTTACCGCTGATTTTTTTTTTTTTTTGGTTTTTGCCAACAAGTTTATTACTAATGATAAAAGTATATGTTAAGACTCCAGTAATATAATTGTATAGTTTTTTTATTTTTTTTCATATTTTTCGAATTTTCTCTCATGTTTTCTAATTCGATTTATATCTAATTTCTCATTTTATTTGAACAATTAAAAAATATTTAGAGCCTTTTTTAGTTTATATTTTAATTTTTAAAATTTTTTGTGGCTTTATAAACATAAAATTAAAAGTTTTGAAAAGTCAATTCGAATGGCTTTGAAGGTTGACCAAGAAAATTGGAATATCTCTTTACTCATAATTTGTTGCTGTCCACTATTTTCCAAGGCGTGTTTAGCTGGGACCACAAGCCTTATCTCATTTGTCTTACTCCTTAGCGCCGATATTTCGCATCCCTCGGACTGGGATCAACCAAGAAAATACCTTTACAATAAAACGGTGCGTTCTGACATCCATCTTGCGCAAGCCGATTTCAGTGGTTCCTTTTTTTTTTTTTTTTTTTTTTTTACGCCATTTGATCTACCAAGCAGTTAGAAGATCTCACTTGGATGAGGCCCCATATTCGTCTATTCTAAGCCGACAGATAAGTATGGGTCTCATATACTAACAAAAAAATTGATGCTGTTCAAGATCGCTTGGCAAGACAATTTTTTGAAGAGTTTTTCTTTCAAAATGATGCATGAGGTTGAAAGGTTTAGATATGTTTAGGTTAAAGTTATTTGTGTTACATCATTATATTAGGGAGTTTTTTTTCCGCTTAACTAAGTTAATCAAGATGTTATTTCCATAAGTTATTGTTTAGGATGTCATTAGGATGCTATTTGTATAGAAACTATGATGAATGAATTGCCTTTGCTGAATTGCTGCTGTTGTTGTAGTCTATTTTGGTTTAATTTCAATTGCATGGTTCAATGAAAACTGGTATATATAAATTAACAAAATTTTTTTTTAAAAAAATAATATACTCACTGTTCAGTAGAACAAATGAGTATGCATTACCATGCTGGTCTATATTGCCATCATACTCGCCTATTCCTGAGTTGAAATATTCATCTATTTTCAACAAGCAAATATATATCTACTATCTATATTTCTTGTGTCAACATCCCCTTTAAACAGATGAAAAAAGGCTTCCACAACAAACAAAAATGATTTTTTTTTTGTAGTAGTGTCAATTGCCCACCATTTTTCACTTTAATCCATTATATAATAGTGCACATTGATGAAATGCTGTTGTCCGGAAAAATTGATGACTTGATATGATGGGCTATTGGTGAACCATAAGAAGATTAAATTAAAAAAAAAACAAGAAGAAAAATTGCAATAAGATCGTACCCAAGAGAATTAAATACAAAAATATCTCTTAAAATTATCAAATTATTCTGAAATCCCAAAAGACCTCATTGCAATAAATTCTATTTGTTTAATTACCAAATTGTCTTTATCTTTTCTTAATAGTATGCATTAATAACTGAAAGTGCAGTTGTCAATAACTTAAGGTGTAATGATTAACAATTATCAGGGTAGATATTAAGAACTCATGCATTATATTTTTGTAATATCCTGAGAAAATATTGATTTACTCCATGTGCAACGTCTTTTTTAGAAGCATCCAACTTTTTCATCAAATTATTCAGCTTCTGAATACTTCTGTTGGATGCTCCCAAGTGTTTATAATAATTTCTATTCACTTCATGCAGAGAGCAAGACAATGTCGTGATGCTTAACACACATCCAACAACTTTCATGGTTGGCTTCAAGGAATTCAAACAAACAGATGAATATGCATAACAAAATGCATATTGCAGGAGCTAGTGTATCCTGCCAGCTATATACTGAAAACATAATGAAAGGTGTCAATTGTATGATCTCCAAAAATATACATGGAAACAAATGAAGAGCAGGAATATATCTGAAATAGAAAATCATAACAAAAACCAGCTGGAACACATATGTACAACTAAAAAAGAAACGAAATGCTGGTTTTAGAGAGGCACACATTTCTTGCAGTCTTTCCAAATATTGTGTGACATGTATATATGACTAATTCATTCTTCTGTATGATGTGTGTGTATGAGTGAGCAAGTGAAGAAGTAATGTGAGGAACAGCGTGAACTGCTAAACATTTAAACATTAATTGTGTCTTCTAAATATTGCAATATACTGACAAACAGATTTAAAAGGGCCTTTATCAATCGTGCCCTTTGAGTCACTTGGGAACAGGTTGGACAGGGCACGTTCAAAACACAAAAAAAATCCCAATCGGGGCGTAGCAACCTTGAAGGTACCACCAAGTTCACTAGTTTAGGTGGAGGTTTTTCTCTTTAAAAAAGGAAATTATGAATTTCTATGTCTAAATGTAAGATAAATGAGAGGAAGATCACAGTGAATAATAAAGAGGAAGAATCCGGATGTGCCATGAGCACAGAGTTGAATCAGTAGAAAAAGGAAATACACAAAGCACAGAGGAAATTATCCTACCAAGCTTCTATTTGAACTCAAAATCTCAGATTTGGTCACGGCATCAATCCCATAGCCCTTCTTGCGCTTCTTTGGAAACCTTCCTTGTCCTCCGTGGGGGGAAAGAGAATAGAATAAGGAAAATGGTGGATAGCAGACAAAGTCATTATTATTATTTTTTTTTAACAAAATAAATAAAAGTGGTTACATGTGCATATACATTTGAATTTTTAAATAGTAATTGGAATGAAATATTGATGGAAACTTGAGACAAATTTATAGCTGATGTATCTTGGCTCGGTTGAAGAGTCAGGACATCTGACGTGTCAGGTACTACTGGCCTGCATGATAGCAGTGTCATCTTCAATAATACACCTTATTTAAGTTTTGAGAGTGGTTAAGT